GAACAGTACTCAAATAAATTTTTTTTTTAACACCATCAAGATCGGTATTGCCGATCCATCAGGAATAGTATTTTTGCCTGGGAAAGATCTCCCGGTGAGCATTAAAATCGATCAAATAAATAAAAGATTGATAAAAGTACAAAAAATAATAGTTGAAAAAAAATTTGAAATAATAAATTTTCCGGTAAATTATAAGGTTGGAATATCATATACTGTGCTTTCGATTGGTGATAATGCTGAGACTTTCATATATATGTAAATTTATTACACAAAACGGTATTTATATTGGTTTGAAAAAAATTATTTCTAACATATTACATTCAATATTTTTGTGTAATTAATTTTCTTATATATTTTGTCATAATATTAAATGCAAAAGACAATAACTTATCAGACGAAATTATTCAAGTCACCAATGCTTCTAATAAACTGAATTTCATTAATATGAATGATTTGGATAGAAGTATTTATGCTTGGTTATTGTTACTATGGAATTTGAGTGGATAAGAAATATAATTTTCAAAATTAATTAAAATTTTTAGATTTAATTAAAATAATAGTTATAATAATATTTATAATAATAATTTTTTATTAAGATATTCATTTTTTTGTTCTATAAAACTGGGAATATTTTGACTAAAAAAATATTTTCTCCTAATTAGCAAAGTCGACTAGCATAGTAAAATTTTTATAAATAATAATTTTACAAAACCTCTATAAATTCACACCCTCACTAGGTGTACACTTACTTCTTGCCCCAAAGGTATGCGTTTAGGAAGGTATCACTTTACATCCCACACTTAATTAGCTTTTTTATTCCATAATTGTGATTGGGTATCAGATACGCTAAGATCAAACATTTTCGAATCTATTATATGAATACATTAATTATTTAGAATGATAATGAATAATTAAAAGTTATTATATAGTGCGTAAAAAATATTCATTGCAAGCGCAGATTAGCATCTAAGGTATTTGATTCGATTACTAATTCACATTAATTCTGTCATTAGGGTTGTAAATTCACAATAATTTTTTTATTTGATTGGTTTACAGTATTTATTTAATTATAATAACTTACTGTATACCATTTTGAATGTATTTTACACGTAGCTTTCATGTAAGGTATGATTTACAACCCTAACTGTCATCGTTTTTTGCTCTCATAGGTAACGTCATCATCCATTTGTTGTTACTATCATAAATATTTGATCGCATATTACATTCTTTAGGTTAGTTATTATTTGTATTTTTTTGACACAAATTAAGAAAAAATATATACAAAAATATGATCAAATTTTGGTATGATAGTTACAACATGGCAGCACGACAATTATATCTTTCAATTTTCTAAACTTACCTCTGAATTTAGCTGTTTCATACGCTAATTTAATCTCTTTGGTGTTTATTAATTTGCTAGTATATATTGATTTTTGGTAATTCGACAAAGAAATTTGTGTTGTTTTGATCTCATCATCAGCAGAAATAAAGCTTCTCTTAATATCAGATTGAGATACCGGATTCATCATAGTTATGCGACATTCTGAAAGTTTTGAGCTAATATCTTTAGCACTAGGTCTGTTACTTGGGTTAGAATCCATGCATTGCCTTGCTAATTCGATGTAACATTGAGGTGTTCTTTCAGAAAATTCAGGTCGTAATCCTTTACAAATATCCAATGCAAGATTATAGTCGAATGGATAGCCGCAAAAAGGCCGT